TAGTTTTATTGATATTAATATTTTAGTAGTTTTTATTTTTATACGATTTTTATATATCGATGAAAGAGTTGTTGAAGTTTTACGATTTATTCTTATCGTTAATGTGAGATAATTTAGGTCATAATCTATCGTATATATAATCAACTGAATTGTTGGGTGTTTTATAAATCAATGATTTTGATAAATAATTTACATATTCTGTCAAATAGTAAAACATTAAAGAATTCATTAATATGTAGTTTTTATAAGAAATTAGTGTTAGTTTAGAACACATTATATTTTCTATTATTTGGTTGTTTTTTTAAAGTTTTGTAAAATCAAAGTTTGATTTGTTTTTATTGGCAATAATTCTAATTATCAATGAATCTGTTTATTATTTATTATGTTTTCGATGATAAATCAATTCACATATTTATAAATTATAAACAATAATTAGAGAATTTAATATATATTTAACAGTTAATTGAAATGTTTGTACAAAAATCTATGTAAAACAGAGTATTCTAAACAACGAATGAATTAAAGAAAAATTTGTATTAAATCTCCATTTTTAATAGTTTTATAATTAATTTATAAAATTATTTAATAAATGTTTGTATATTTTTACTTAAAATCCTTGAAACCTAAGATGCTTTAAGTATATGCTAACTTTTTGCATGTTTGCATATTAACTACGGTATATGTAAAAGTAGATCCCATTGATTAAAAATTGCAATTTATTTTAATATGTTTTAGCAAATATTTATTTATTTATCTTGTTATTATCATATAATTTATATATACCGAATATACATGTATATGCATGATAATATTTATTATTGAAAACTTAATTGACCATGATGTTTTTGATCTAAAAGCATAATGTTACGATTCTATCCATATTAAGGCATTTACTGTTAACTCATAGGATTTTCAAAAGCTAGTGTTGTCACTTTATTATTTGAGAATACTGTTTAGAACTAAATATTTATTTGCAAGTTTATCATATTGTTTTAGTTTAAAAAAACTTTTTAATTAGTCAACTCCATATTAAAATTAATTAATTATTATACAAAATTACGTGATAACCAAGCATTTACTGGCAAATCAATAATTTATTAAAATTATTAGCAAACAGTTGGACACTCTATCTCTTGCGTCACAACAGAGTAGTTGTTATGCTTTTCCACACCATTTCTTAACCAATATTATATAACAAACACTTTTGAAACTGGATTTTCTCGCAAATATGGGATCAGTTTATTCGAAGAGTCCATCAGTGGTCACATCACTGAGTAGTGTGTCTTCGTTTGGAAAGACGGGTTCATTCCTCGAATACGACCGTATAATCCATCACTTGAATAGTGGGGATCTGATTGAAGTACTTCGGGGTCCGTACAAGCATTGGGCGATCTTCGAGTCGGTCGACCGCTTCGGCAATTGTATGTGTTTTCACATCACTGCCATCGAAGAGCCCATCGATCGCAACGACTCCGGACTCGAGAAGAATGACGTTCGCAAAGAGATCTCATTCGATGGCAAAGCGCTTCTCAAATACGAACCGCTGTTGGATATTCTTAAGGACACCGATAGCCCGAAGCCGTCGATGTGTCGGATTAACAACCAGGAGATAATGGGACAGAGAATGCGCAAAATGATCAACAATCAGATCCCAGACTTAAATCAAGTGTTCAAAGTGTTGCACGCGTTTAAGGATACTGTCCTTAAATACTGTCTTAAAGTAATTGATCCGTTGATTATCTCGATTGATATGAGTTAATAATTTTAATGTCTTATCGCTTACAGTCGTTGAATTGCGAACATTACTGTACTTTCTGGAAGTACGGCATCGGGTGGTCATCGCAGGTGAACAGCTTTAAAGACATCATAACCACAGCGTTGAAGACGGTGTCATCGCTGTCTCGAACGGCCGCTGATGTCCTGCAACACAACGGCTGCTATAAATTGGGAATCGTTTGTCTTTTAGTATCGGTGATCAGCGCAGAGGCCGCCCGAGTGGTCGAAGCAATTGATTTTACTCTTAAGGACCTACGAATTGAAGACGTGGTCAGACATGCGATTGCCTACTGAATCAGTAGTACTGATTATGCATTTCCCAAATGTGAAATCAGTTAACTATGAATTATAAATACCAAATACAATAGCATTTAACTAAATATGTATTGAGTCGTACCCCCTATCGGTGCGGCCCTCCTATCAACTAAATAACTAAATTAGTAATTTAGCTGATGGGGGGACTGAACCGATAGGGGGTAAACTATTTTGTAATTTGTTAAACAAATTTTCATAATTCTGGTCTAAATGTGAATGAGTCCGAAGACTCACTAATTATATTTTAATCTCTTGTATTTTATGATTGAATTTAATAATTTTATCATTATGCAAAATCTATATAACTGTAAGCAATGTAAATCTGATTTTACTTTTACTTCAATTTTATTTTGATTTTTAGAGAAATAAGTTTTGAATTTTACAAATAAAGTCTAATATAATTTAAAGTGAAAGAATGTGTTAACATTGGTATTAATCGTCAATCACTTCATGGCGTGATATAAAATACACACTTGAGGTCGGGAAGCGAGTGAATTGCCCGACGTTAAGACATTTGTAGAGATGGATCCTTAGATGGTAAGGATAGGGCGCAAACAATATATCGCACGGATCGCCGCCCGAACACAACGTCTCGGCAAAGGCTATGGCATAGAGAGCCGACTGATTGGCAAATTGTTGCGAAGNAGATTATGACCTAAATTATCTCACATTAACGATAAGAATAAATCGTAAAACTTCAACAACTCTTTCATCGATATATAAAAATCGTATAAAAATAAAAACTACTAAAATATTAATATCAATAAAACTAATTATAACTTGGGTTTAATTGAAGCCACATTCGGCTTATTGTGGACAAACTCTTTCCACCAGTCGGCCCGCGATAGAGCTCCGGGTGCGGCCAGAATCGACTCGTATATATTCTTGTAGATCTGTCCGTCAGACTTGCCTAACGCCGAGTTGAGCATGAAATCTGTCGGTGCGATCACATCCACGAGAGTCACGGCTTCGTCTTTGAGTTGAGCGCACAGTTTAAGTATTGATTGGCGGATGTATTGAGTGGGTGTCGGACCCGAACAGTAGCCGCCCTCGTATAGAGTGGACAAGTGTTTCTCCAACGACCACAAGCCGTATAGAGAGCCCAAACGCTTCAATACGTTGGCCAACGACTGGTCAGTCATCTCCACTTGAATGAAGGTATTCCAGCGGTCGAGCACTACGTGTTCAATGAAGGCCAGGGATAGGGATCGACAGCAGTAGACTTGGCTATTGGTTCGCGCGGTGAACAAGTCTTTGCCCGAATCCAACTCACGCTTCAGTTTATTGACAGACATTCTCATGAGATAACTGACGAGAAATCTATAGGCGTCGAGAATGACGTCCATTCGCATGACATCGTCGGGTGCCGTCACATGCATTCGCTTCTTGAGGTGAGCGTCCATTTGGTCCAAGAAGTCGACGGAACCGAATTGGGAAGTGAATGGTCGGCCCTCTTCGACCTTCAATTGCCACAAACGCATCAAATAATTACTGGTTTGCATTTGAAGCACATTATTGTCGCCCTCATAGGTGTTGTTGGCGTCGTGATCGTCCCTAAGCTCTCCCAAACCCGACGCCTTCAGATAGCCGTGACCTCCGCACGCCTCGCGACACTCTTGTATGGCATCCCTGCAGACCCAACCGGCCAGCGGTTTGGCGGCGCTCGACAGGGCGTGTATCTCCTGTCCCTGTTCTGACAGCTCCGGCGATGTCGTGCCGAAGAGCACAGAGATCTGAAAGTTCATGAAATCTCTGTGAAAAGACATACTGAAGTTGTCCAACACATAACACGCGGCCAAATATGGTAATAATCTCCATTGTTGCATCTGGTACTCAATCACCGGCAGCTCTTCCTGTCCGGGCGGACCGAATTGTCTTCTGGCGGCTGAGTATCTGATGGCAATGGGAAGCGCTTTCTGCATATTAGTGATGGCCATTCCAATGATGCCGACCCGACCCATGGATAGTGTTCCCAAAGTAACGCCCATTCGTTTCTTATTGTCTTTGATTTCAGTGACATAAGTGCCGTCTTTGTCCACATCTCCGATTCGGTTCATCAGTAGGTCTTTGGGAACCCTATAGTTCTTGAACTGAAGGAACCCGTTGTCCAAACCGTTGAGACCTATTTTGGGTCCCATATCGCCGACAGTAATGCCCGGATAGGGTAACAGTGTCTTCGGGTCGCGAATCGGGGCAATAAATGCACTCAATCCGTGACATTTGCTATTGACGTACAGCTGGACAAACACCACGGCATGAGTAGCCGTTTTGCCCAAATTGCCGGACCATACCTTCGAGGCCTCAAAGTTGGGTGTATTCAGTATGAACTCATTTGTCTGGGGGTCAAAGTCGGCGCGTGTGGCCATCGCTTTGGTGTTGGATCCGTGAGCCATCTCTGTGAGCGCGAAACAGCCCAACGCCTCGAACTCCATCAACTGATCCAATACACTCAGATGACGACTAGAGCCGGCGCCCCGTAGGCTGACCGTCACGAACTCGTACGCCAGAAACTTCTTGGCCGATAGGGACCAGTCGTACTGACCCAACGTGTTGTACATGTGTTGTGTGAGCAACGGATTGGCCATAAACTCTTCGTCGGGCAGAAAGTCATACTCCATGAGGCGTTTCATGCGTTTCAAAGTGATCTCCCGGTGCTGGTCGCGGGTCATCTCTTGGCTCGGGTGGTGTGCGAACAGCGGATCCTTTTCCAGCGATCGGGCGATTCGTAGCTTAAATCGGATGATGTCTTCGCCCTCCAACAGGAGCTTCATTTTGCGCCAATCAAACGACGCTCTCTTCCGGTAAGTGTCGAGCGGACCCGACGGCCAGTCGGGCAACAGTCGCCGGATCTCCTCATTCACCACAATGCTATTGCTGTCACCGGAATTGGTGTGCATTCTTCTGCAGTTACCACCGATTGAGTTGAGAAAAACAAATGATAATAAATATAAGGTTTAAAATATAATAGGATTACAATATGCGGGACACAAATGCAATCAATGGTAGAAATGGGAGTCAATTAATGGATAGTTAAATGGCATCAGGTTTTGGGTGATAATAAAGTGGTAAAATGGGATCAAATAGAAGATATGGTGAGAATTGACATACATTTGCTGTGTATTGACGTGTGTTTCGCAGTCTTCACAACCAATTTGTTTCACTCAATGAGACGTTCAGTGAAAATGTTTTCGCTTTGAATGAAACACTCAAACAGTGTTTGACTCAAACTTTTGGACTATTAATACAAACTTCTCAATCAGTTTTGCGATAAACTCCAAGCCGTGAACCAAATAAACAGTTAATTTAATCAATTTTATTAATCGCTTGTTTTTTATTTACTATATCTCTGTTTATATGATTTTAAATAATGATATTTTCAATAAATGTTTTTTAAATATTAACACAAATATACAATTTTATAGACGTGTGAATACAATGATAGAGATATTTAGCACTCGACTCACACTAAACAAAACTTTTAATGAAATATTGCAACAAATTTAAAGTAAAATTGTGTCAAATCGGAGGACCAGTTATAGGAACTGTATTTTTGCTCAGAAATAGGTTTTAGACCGAAAGAAACAAAAACTTTGAATCGCCGTCACATTAATAAGCGATTAAATACCCAAATAAT